GCCCAAAATCTTCCTCTCCTTTCTCCACCCTCTATTCTTAGGATGAAGATTTGATAAAGTGGAAGGCATTGCTTGAGGAAGTGCCTGAATTATTAACTGAAGAAGAGAAGAAGAAATGGGTTGACAAACTTAGTGAAGTTTCTGTCAGCTCTGATGCCTTTTTTCCTTTCAGGGATAATGTAGACAGAGCTAAGAGGGTAAGTATGGAATTGATGTGCATTTGCATAGAATTGATTATTATGTAAAAACTCTTTCAGGGATGCCTGGGGGGCTCAGTTGGTTAAGCTTCTGCCTTCAGATCCCAGGACCCTGGGATCAGGGAGCCATCAGGCTCCCTGCTTAGCCAGTAGGGGGAATGATCTGCTTCTCCCTCTCCCTCTGCTGGTGTGTTTTCTCTCTCTCTCAGACAAATCTTTTTTAAAAAAACTATTTCAGAAATCCTTCTGTTTAAATTCTGTGAATTCTATATCCAAGTTATAGCAGTGTGATATGTCAGTAATATTTATTTTACTTTTCCATTTGATGTATGAATAACCCAAATCCTATTATTTTCCTGTTTTGACTGTGAGTGAACCACTCTGCATTGTAAATCATTATTAGCTTATGCTTTCTAGAGGGGGATTTTGATTTTGGCATGTCTTAACCTAAAATTGTGTTTTGAAAGTCAGTGTCTGTTCTTCCCTCAGAGTGGTGTGGCCTACATTGCTGCTCCTTCTGGTTCTGCTGCTGACAAAGTTGTGATCGAGGCTTGTGATGAACTGGGAATAATCCTTGCTCATACGAATCTTCGGCTTTTTCATCACTGATTTCATTGCACAGTATTTTATGGTTTGCTTATGTGTAGGTGAAAAATCACATGTGACATTTTGACTGTCTTTTTTATAAAAAAATAAAACATTAAGTCTTAGTCATCTTGGATCCATAGCTTTTGGTTGTATTTAATTTCTTAAAGTTATAGGTTGTCTAGCATAGAAACATTACCCACAAATATTTGTGTGTAAGAAATACAGGAACATCCCTGCCTCCTGGAGCTCAGCTCATCCCAAAACATTGCCTGTGTGAAACATCTAAAAATTATCAAGTAAGCCAGGGAAACTGAGCAGACCCTGGAGTTAGATAGCATAAGCATCCTGCAGTCTCACTGGTTTCCTCAAAGGGAATTCCACTCATGCAGCTTTTCTTTTAGTCAGAGTTCTAAAAAGGTTGGTTGTCTCCTTTCTAAGCAAAAGTTTGAGATTTGTTTGAATTTTAGTGTGATGTATGGGTCAAGTTTCACTTTCTTTCCATACATTTATCCAGGTGTTTCACCATCATTTGAAAAAACTGTCGGATTGCGTGTTTGCTCAGTTAACCATTATTTGCAATGGGTCTATTTCTGGACTCTGTTCTGTTCCATAGTTATGTTTGTCCTAATGCCAATACCATGCTGTCTTGAAAATTGTAGCTTTATATTAAAATTTTGAAATCAGATCATGGGAGTCGTTCATCTTTGTCCTTTTTTAAAAGTTGTTTTGGCTATTCCAGGGCTTCGGCATTTCCATATAAACTTTAGAACTAATTAGTCTATTTCTACAAAAAAATTTGTTGGGATGTTGATTGGAATTGCATTGAATCCATAGATCGATTTGTGGAGATTTGACATATCTCCTTTCCCTTTGAAGGTTGATCCTGTCTGGTTTCCACCATCTTTTGGTTGCTCTCCAATGGTTTCAAATAGATTTTGTAACATTTTTGTCCCGTGTTCATAACTATCTGTAGGAGGGTTAGTCCAGTACAATCTCCTCTATAGTTAAGAGAATCAGGAACACATGGATATCATAGGAAAATTTCTAGTCATTGTTTCCTTTTCTTAATTTTTTTTTCTTAAGTCAATTCTAGCAAAGTATATTTTTTTCTCCTAGGAATTGGACCAGTTTTCAAGATTGTTGGCACATAGTAATATTTTCCTGAATTTTAAAGGGTCTTTTTTTACGGAAGTTTTGGGATGGACACAAATAACTTAAACTGTACCTGTCATCCAAGTACAACTCATGATCACTAGTTTTATCTAATGTTTCCCCACTTACCACTCCTCAACACTGATTATTTTGAAGCACAGTATAGGTATTTCCTCTGTAAATATTTCAGTTAAAGTAACTCTCAAAAAAATTTTTAAAGTGTATTTACTTTTTGAAATATATAATCATGCCTACCTGCTGAGAGAGCCAAGAAATAATGATACCTCGATAGCAATGAGCATACCTAGTGCCAGGTTCTTGGTTTCTGATGCCACTCCAATGAAAGGATTCAGGACTCCTTGGAGGCATAGCTGACTCTAGGACTGGGGTAGGAAATAATATAAGATGAGATGCCTGCAGCACCTTACAGTGCCAGAAAGTAAGGAAGGACTTTAAAAACAAGTACATGATGGGAGTGTGTCAAAGGACATGGGAGCCAACTAAAACGATTCCCAATAGTCAAAGCTGGAATCATTTGAGCAACAGAGTAATGTAACCCAATCTATGAAATATCTGAGTTCATGGCTGACCTAATGAAGGATTGAATAAATAAATGGAGAATCTGTGCAGAATTTTAAGTAATTTATATGGATATTCCACTTTCAAGAAGAGCATAACTCCCCAGCCTTAGGTGTAGGCTGTGCATAGTGACTTCTTCCCAAGGTGTGTAGCATTGAGAGGGAGATAAAGGAGTAGCTGCAGTGGAGAGACCTGACCGATAGCACCTCAGCCAGGTGATGAGGGTTTAAGAAGCATGTCATGTTGACAGTATGTACCTCCAAAGGGGAATGGCACTTGACCTCTTTGGTCTTCTTTCCAAAAATCTACAACCCCAGTTTAGTCATAGGAGAAGCATCAGGCAACTCTCAGTTGAAGGACATTCTATAAAATAGTACTGAAAACTGTCAAGGTGATGAAAAACAAGGAAGGTCTGAGAACAATGTAGAGGAGTCTAAGGATACACGTCGACTAAACGTGATGTCTCCAGGATAGACTTCTTGAACAGAAAAAGGATGCCAGGTAAAAAGTCCCAATGAAGTATGTACTTTAGTATTATGGATCAATGTTGATTCATTAATTGTAACAAATGATAAAAGGAGGAACTAAGTGTAGGGCATATGGAAACTACCATCTTCACAAATTTTTTCTGTAAATCCCAAGTATTAGAAAATAAGTTTATTTAAAAAAATACATAATCATACTTCAAGTATCACACTGAAAGGCATAAGTAAGAGTTACTAATATCAAATACCCAGTCACTGTCCAGATCTTCCACATTGGCTTTTTTTTTCCCCCCTGAGTTTGTTGGTAATAAGATCCAAGCCTGAGACACACATTGTGTTTGCCTGGTGCATCTCAAGTCACTTAGTTGACTGATTCCTCCTTTTTTATTTTTATTTATTTATTTTTTTTTGCAGTCAATTGTTAAAGACACCAGGTTTTTGCTTCCATAGAGTTTCCAATATTCTTTGAATTTTGTTAATGCATTCCTGTAATGTCATTTTATTTCATTTGTGCCTCTCTTTATTTTAAACTGATAGTTGTAGCTTAATGATTTAAGTTTGACCTATCAACAGTAGAGAAAGATGGATTGAAACCTCCCTCTGTGAAGATGAGTTTACGAGTTTCTCCCTGCAGATTTATAAATGTGCTTCCTGTATATTTGAAGCTAAAAAAGTACTTTTCATAGTGATTTATGTACTAACTCCAATCCTACTAACAGTTTCTGTCTTAGACAAAATAAGTTATTTTATCTGATATGAACATAGCTAGACTAGCTCTTTTTTGGTTTATATATGTCTAATACTGCTTTTCATTCTTTGGTGCTCTTATGCTTTAGGTGCAGATATATCTGGAACCTGTTTTTGTTTCTAATGCAACTTGCCAACTCAGCCAGCTCATTTATATTCATTTCAATTACTGGTATATTTGGACCCTATTTCTACCATCCTATAGTTTGAACCACTTTTTATTCCTTTTATGCCATTGCTTTAAATTGATAGCTATATTTCTCCTGTAATAGGAACTTCCACCTGCTTAATGAACATTTCCCCATCCTTACCCTTCAAAACCCCCATAATGTCGATTCCTAGACTTTTCAATTCTGTGTTAGAGAGAGACATTTTCTCTTAGGTTTTTTTGTTGTTTTTTAAGACAAGCTTTCCAAGCTTTCTGTTAACCTTTACTTCACATACCTCTTGCCATTTTGTCTGAGTTTATCTCTCCTCAGGTAGAAGCTGTATGCAATGTGGTCTGCTAGGAACAAATTCATTTTTAAAAATAAATTATAAGTCATGCCTGTGGAAAGTGTATAAAACACCTACAGTTTAAAGAATAATTTGTAGGGGCGCCTGGGTGGCTCAGTCTTTGGACATCTGCCTTCAGCTCAGGTCATGATCCCGGGGTCCTGGGATCGAGCCCCACATCGGGCTCCTTGCTCAGCGGGAAGCGTGCTTCTCCCTCTCCCACTCCCCCTGCTTGTGTTCCCTCTCACGCTGTGTCTCTCTCCGTCAGATAAATAAAATCTTAAAATAATTTGTAAACAAACATCTACGTCACCCCTAGCCAGGCCAAGAAAGATAACTTTGCCAGTAGCTCCCATGCCCACTGATAACGCCTCTTCCGGATTATTTTCCCATTTTTCCCTCCAGAAAACGACCTTGTGCCTTTTATGATAATCACTAACTTGCGTTGCCTCTCACCGGTCAGGTGATCTTGGGCATGTTGTTTGACCTCTTGCAGTTTGTTTCCTCACCTATAAAATAGGGATGGATTTGCTCCTGGAGAGGGTGAGTAGCTCTCAGTTAAAAGCACTTCTGGTTAAAACCACACGAAACTAGTTTGTCAGGTTCAAGTTCCAACTCTGCTACCTAGGAGCTGCGTGATGTTAGGTTGTTCACTCAGCCTTTCCCTCACTTTCTGTTTGTAAACTGATGATGATAACAGTACCCACCTTGTAGGGCTGGTATGAGGAGTAGATGAGACAAAGTTTGTAAGAACACTTAGGATGGGCGTCCCTGTCCTGTCGGGGCCGTCATGGCGGGTTTGCTGAAGAAGACCACCGGCCTTGTGGGATTGGCTGTATGTGAAAGTCCACACGAGAGGCTAAGAATATTCTGCACAAAGATTCTTGATGTTCTTGAGCAAATTCCTAAAAACGCAGCATATAGAAAGTATACAGAACAGATTACAAATGAGAAGCTGAGTATGGTTAAAGTGGAACCAGATGTTAAGAAATTAGAAGACCAACTTCAGGGTGGCCAACTAGAAGAGGTGATTCTTCAGGCTGAAAATGAACTAAGTCTGGCCAGAAAAATGTTACAGTGGAAACCATGGGAGCCTTTAGTGGAAGAGCCTCCTGCCAACCAGTGGAAGTGGCCAATATAATCATCATTGAATGACTAGTGTGTTCATGGGAAATGGATGTAATTAAATGTTCTGTTATATTAAAAATGTTTCTATATTATTGACATAAGAAAACTAATACAGAGCATATTTAGGACACTTCTTAAAATTGATACTATGGTAATAGGGACTTGTGAATCCATTTTTGATATGTAAAGCATTCATTTAAGCTATCTTAAAGATTTTGTTGTTGGAGTTTTTGTTTGTTGTTTGTTTTTTACAGAGAGGTTGTGGAAAGATTTGAAAGTTAATTGGAAAAATTCCTATAGATTTTCAATGCAGAAGCCATAACCAAAATGTTAAGTATTTATAGTGGCATCTTCAACACATCATTTAATGATTTTTATCTTGAAAAAAACCAGGAAAGATACTTTATTATTATTATTGTTTAGACAAATTTAAAGTGAAGTAGTAAGAGTAAAAACCATCAAGTTATAACTGTACAGTTGAGGAAATTGATTTGGTATTTGGAAGAAAAATTTCTTTCTTGAAAGAAAAAATTTCTTACAGTGGTAGTTGGAAAAACTTTTCCATTTGTCTCATTTAAAGAAGTTAGCTTTCTGTTCTTAGCCTTTAGTTTTCTTGATCACCCAAAGTACATCAGATTGAGATAGAATTTATATAAAAGGAAAGACATCAAGAGTTCCTAAAGTTTTTCATAGGCTTATATTCAGAACATCTTACTCATACATGGGTTGTAACTTCCAAGTGGAATCACTAGGTAGTTTACACTAAGTTTCCAATATGAGTGCAGTTGGGGATCAAACCCAAGATAAGTGCTAATTCAAGGAAAGAAACAATTGGCATAAATGACTTTTCACGTGTCCTCACCCTTTCACCCTAGACCCTATCATTTCTAAATACTTAAATTTGGTATTTTTTAACTTTAAAGATAGTGCTTTTGTGTGTGTTTGTACACATATGTTTTTGTGTCTTTTGCTATCCCTTGGGGCAAAGTAGAATCATTCAGAATTTTCAGAAAGAGAAAATTGTACTTTTTTTCTGATATATTTCTCCCCTTACAGAGCTATAAATTGAATGGTAAATAAATATTAAATGAAAAAAAAAAAAAAGAACACTTAGGACACCATCCGGAACAAAAAATACCATTTGTAAAAAATGCTAGGGTCGCCTGGCTGGCGCAGTTGGGTTAGGCGTCTGACTCTTGGTTTTGGCTCAGATCGTGATCTCAGGGTTGTGAGATCGAGCCCCATGTCAGGCTTCATGCTCAGGGCAGAATCTGCTTGAGCTTCTCTCCCTCTCCCTGCCCCTTCTGCTTGTGCTCTCTCTCTTTCAAATAAATCTTTTAAAAAATGCTAGTCATTATTCATGATGCTTTGGTGTATATGGAAGCATGGGAGGTAGTGGAGGAGGATATTTATGTATGGAAATGGCTTAAAAATAGTAAATGTATATTTATGGAAGATTTTTTTCAGTTTCTGAATAGGTAGCCAAGAGATTTCTGAGTTCTTTCAACCTTTCATCTATTCTGCTTCCCCACACCTCACTTCTTACCATTAAACAAAAGGACATTACAGAGACTTTCTGTAAGTAAAGTGGCATTATCTTTTTTTATTGAAATAAGATTCACATAACAAAATTGACCATTTTAACAATTTCAAAGTGTACAAGTCAGTGATTTTAAGTGCTATATATTCACAAATTTATATCACCATCACCACCTTTTGTGCCTGACTTCATTCACTTAGTGTTTTCAAGGTTTCATGTTGTAGCATGTTTCAGAACTTCATTCCTTTTAACAGTCAAATAGTATTCAATTGTATGGATATATCACATTTTGTTTATCTAGTCATCAGTTAATAAACATTTGGGTTGTTTCCACCTTTTGGCTATTATGAATAATGGTATGATGAATGTGTGTGTACAAGTTTTTATGTGAACATATGTTTTCAGTTCTCTAGGGTATATACCTAGGAGTGGAATTGCTGGGTCCTATGGCAGTTCTGGGGTTAACTTTTTGCAGAACCACCGAACTGTTTTCCACAGCAGCTGGACCATTTTACTTTTCCACCAGAATGTATGAGGGTTTCAATTTCTCCACCAAGGCGTCATGTGTTTGAGTCAAATACAGCTTTCAGCCCTTGGCTCAGCATCTTATGACTAATGCTGAATTATACAGATCAGTAGATTTCATTGTAAAGTCCTGTCCGGTGGTTTGCTGGCAGAGACCATGTTTCCTTCTGGAACAAAATGGCAGTTTCCAAAGTACTGTAATGTGAGGAGAGAAAAGAGAAGGCCAAGGGAGAATCCTTGGCCTTCGTTGTATTTTATGTAAGAGGAGCCTGCTGTGGTGGGCAGCACGCAGGACCTGGGATTCCAGCACCAGTAAGCCCAGGATGCAGTCGATTAGCCTCCCACCGCCTCCAAGCAGTACTAATTGTGAGTCTTCGGGGGCTCCACACCAGAGCTATTTTAGAAAGAGATTCGGCTCCTAAGATTGTTGAAACCCACATGTCTCTAAAGAGTAAAAAGGAATTCAAGGAAATGTAAAACATGCTTTAATATCTCATACCTGACTCTACTGAGGAATGTTAAAAAAGGAATTTCCGTTTTTGGCTTTCAGCTGAAGCACCATTTCTCTGCTCTTTTATTGCAGTATTTTCTTTCCTTCCTTTGTAATTTATATAGATTTTGTTTGCAGTTCAAATTAATCTTTTATTTTAATGAAGCTACGGAGTGAGACAATGTGGCAATGACAGTAACTTTCATTTAAAATAGCACCATATACTCTTTAAAAAGAGTTTTCTTAGTCTGAAAAACCCATGGTAGTGCATGGTCATCTTTGTGCTGCTTCTGCTTTATCAGCCCTTATGGTTATCTTTAAATGTTCCCAAACATGAGAAGTCCCAAGAGTGGTCTTCTTCTTTTTTTTTTTTTAATGGTTGAAATGTATTTCCTGAAAATGGGAGTTTTTAATTGGAGCCTGCCACTTTCCCTACCACAGTAATGGAAATTTACTGAATAGGAAGCAATTTCAGCATTTAAATGTGCTGATGTGATGTTTCTTAATCACCTTAATGAGTTTCATGCAACTAGAAATGGAATAGAATTTTCAATGGAAATATAATTAAATAGAAAAGTCATTTCCTATACTTGTAATTTCCACCTGATCATTTCTTTATTCACCTCCTTAGAAAGTGTGCCTCACAGACTTATGGTGATATTATTATACACACTAATTTGCATCATTCACTTAGGTCATCAGCACTGAAAATATAAAAACACAAATTTTGTTACAAATCGAATGCAGCAAGGCAAAGTAAAGCTTCAAATCTACAATTTTTCTTTTTAACATCTGATATATTTACTAGTTTTACCTAATTTTTTCTTGAATTGGCAATTTCTTGCCTGAATCGAGATTGGTCTTTTAATTATGGCTTTTCAATCTGGCCTGTTTAAGAATCCTCAGGGGAAGAAGTATCATGAGTCAGTAAAAACTGTAAAAGAACTTTGGAAATCCTCTTGGTTCTCGTGTTTGAATGATTTTACTGAGAAATGGTAAAAAAAGAAAGTTTTACCATTCTTGCATTTTGATGCCAAAACATGAAAGGCCATTTAAATTTGTTTAATTTGTTCTTATTATTTAAATGTAGTTACTGATTCACTATTGAAAGTTTAATTGTAAGATTAATACACTGCTTTTGAGAATCTAGCAGACATTCTGGAAAAAGTGTAGTTTAAAATCTTAAATGTGGAGCTTGTGTCTTCTACATTTCATTTATAAATTGTCAGAAGGGCTTGCTATCCATTTAATTAATACAGTCCAAGTGGATTTACTTAAACTCACATTTGGGAAGATAGTTTTAGGTTTGCAGATAGGCAAGTGGTTTGAAGCACATTCTCAACTGATAGCTGTTCTTTTCTTATGTTTTAAAATATAAAGACTTTTAAGCAAGATGGAGTTGAGGTGTAGACCTTCACCTGCATGTTACCTGGGCCTCCTCTTCACATATGAAGACGAAGGGACCAGCCTGCTTTCTCTCAGGCCTGCCTGCATCTTCAGTGGTACTTCCCACTGCATGATGTGTAGATTTATATTGAATCACATTTTCTCTTCAGTGATCAGTGATGACACATGTGAGACGGTCATATAATATCACCACGATCTGTTTCTTCTGTGATTTTTTTTTTTTTAAACATATACAGAGCGGCTGCTGTCTTGGTCATTACTGGCCTAATAAAGCTGAATGATTAGGAAAGTTAAACAGAAATATGGGCTTTGGGTCTGTGTCTTGCTAAGGAAAACTAATCTGAGCTGCATTCTTTATAAAATTAGACTGCAAAACCTCCTCCCAATGAGATACTAAATGTCAGGGCATTTTGTAAACTGTAAATCAATTCAAATGTGAGATTTATTTTTTTTTAAACAAATGAATCCTGAGGAAATCTCTTTTTGTAGTTAGTCTTAATATTCATTGACAGGTGTTTACTGAAATATTTTCTTCCATTACACAATAACGTATAAAAATATTGTATATTATGAATTACTAATTTTTTACTAATTAAAAATCAGCTATCTCCAGTGCCATTATTTACTAGTCTAGATGCCAGATTTAATCTCAAAGTTTTGTCGTTTCCCCAAAGTTAAATTGAAAAGGAGGTGTCCTTTGTAGATGAGGAGTTTGGCAAACTCTGTCCTGCTGGGGCACCCTGAAAAGTGTCAGGGTTGAGGTTCTTGTATCACACCATGGCCCTAAGACAAAGCTCCTCTAGGATGTGCTATTCAAGTCGTTTTAACATCTCATCTTTTTTCCTTCCTAGAAGGTAACCTCTTTGAATAGGTGTTTATTCAGTGAGGGGAAGAAGGGAAGGAGGGGGAATGATGTTTGGAAAAGAACAAAAAAAGGTGATTTCCGTCCCACTTCTGAATAGCTGGCTAGCAAGTTCAACAATATTTGAGTCCACTAAAATCTGGGAAAACAGAGATAGGAAACTAGCCCCATTACTGAAGAGATGAAATATCAAGAATGAATCTGTTTTTGTAGTGACAGACTTGGAAAATTTTGTACTTAAATCTCCAAGAAGGAG